GAGAGAGGAAAAGAGGCTAGGCTGAAGACCTAATGGGGTAGTCTAGGCAAAATAAAGAAAAAGTGTTCATGATGAGGAAGTAAAGAATCCAATGATGAAAGGCTATTCTTCTTTATCCTTTGATCATGGAAATTATCCTTAGAAACCCTTTTTGAGCCAAAAGAAAAGGTAATCGTCTAACTTATAAAAGCCTGACAATTTTATTTCTAAATTGTCCTACATCAAGAGCCTAGGGTGAGAAGAGTGTTAGTAAGGGGATTCAATGGGAAAAGGGAATTTTGAGCCATTTTATCCTTTCTTTCTAATTATCCAAGCCCTAAACCACGATACAAGCCAATGTAAAGTCCTTATCAGAGGATTTGTAGCTTGCTCATTTATGAACACACACACAAAAAAAAAAGAAAAAAAAAAAGAGAAGAAGAAGTGGTGGCAAGGTCTAAGTTGAAAACCTAAAAGGGCAACTTAGGCTAATGACAACAAGAAGATCTATTGAAAGGAGATATTCAAGAAGGAAAACATAGTAGTGATCCATGAAAAGGGAACTAAGATTGAGTCATTGACCTAAGTGTAAAAAGGGGCGTCTTTTTAATGAGTTGAGAAAGGGATGATATCACTATTGTGGAAGAATTGTTGAGCAAGCTTTTCCTGCCTTTTAATTATTATATGTTCAAAGCTTTCTTCATACCTAATTCATTGTTTCATCTCTCCTTAATAAATTTCAAAAATTCCTTTTCATTCTTCATTTCCATTCTTTCGTTGGAACATTAAATAGTCCCAAACTTGATGCTTCATTTAATATGATTGTTTCATTCAATACTATCTTTGATACACTAAAGATTTGTGATAGTCACAGGAAAATTGGAAGCTGTCTAATGTTTAGAAAAATGCTCAAGTTAGCAAAATGGTCATTGCCAATTGAAGAGAAGAGATGAAGTTTGCATCTAAAAAAAAAAAAGAAAGAAGAAGAAGAAGAAGAAGAAAAAGAAGAAAGAAAAAGAAAAGGTGAAGTTGTGTCTTAGGAAATCACATTCGAGATGAAGTTGCATCTTAGAAAAGATGAAGTTACATCTCAGAAAATCACATCCGAGATGAAGTTGCATCTCAGGAAGAAGAAGAGATGAAGTTGCATCTTAGAAAAGATGAAGTTACGTCTCAGAAAATCACATCCAAGATGAAGTTGCATCTCAGGAAGAAGAAGACATGAAGTTGCATCTCAGAAAAGACGAAGTTACGTCTTAGAAAATCACATCCTAGATGAAGTTGCATCTCAGGATAAAGAAGGGATGAAGTTGCATCTCAGAAAAGATGAAGTTACGTCTCA